CACCGCCCCGCTCCCGCCCCCCGCGGCCCTGGCCCCGCCTGCTGCGACCATTCTAGATGCGACTGGGTCCGGGTCCGGGTCCGGGTCAGACGTGCAATGTCTCTGCAAGGAGTGGGTGCCGATGACCTGATTTTCTATGTGAATGGGAGGAAGGTAAGTGTTGCTCGGAAAGTGCAGAGAAAGGGCTGCTGCTTCCAGGAGTCACCCCAGATTTGGTTTCCTCAGACTTAACTGAATGCTCACGCAAGTTTCCGGAAGCAGTCCTTCCCATCTCCTTGCTGGTAAGAAGCGAATTAGACCACACATATTACTGTAGTTAGGCAATGCTCTTCTGCGTACAGCAGGTCCTGTTAGAAGGGTAGAAGCAGCAGAAGAGGACAAACGCGATTACAACATCCTGTTTTAGCTAGCTCTGCTGCATTTGGGGGAAAAAACATGTCAAAAGGAAATAAAATTTCAGCTGGGTATCAAATTTGGCTGGCAAGCAAACTAGGTTTTCATGTGTGCATGTCTGGCTTCTCATCTTCAATGGCATTGGAGAAGGAGTATCAGATGGTATCAGATTCAGAGGCACAACAGAAAGCAAGACTCAGGAGCCAGAATATGCGTGATTGGCCAACATACTGGCCAAAGATAATATTGCAAGAGTTAAACTGGCTGTTGATTCAGTATAACTGGACTAGCTGATTCTAAGCAACGGAATAAGAAATACTGTACTCAGTCAAGAATGTTGGCATTTCTGTTGCTGTCTGTTGTTAGTCTGTTATGGCAAGTGAAAGTTTATATAAATAAAGCTAGACGAAAACTGCATCCTTGCTAATAGTCTTGCAGGCTTCTGTGGTGTTCATCCCAGAGTGTCAGGGACACTCTGAAAGTCTGCAAAACATTCTTTATGCTATGCTGCCTCTATTGTAGCAACATTCTCCTGCGTTTTTACTTTTAGTGTGGCCTCAGTATGACCTTTCGCTGAACAGCACTTAACTTTTAGTAGTTGCGAGGTGCCCTGGCACTTCTTTCCTGGAAACGTATCTGTCTGGGAAGGAATTTCCAGGGCGAGCCTAAACTCTCCTGTGGTCTTTGCAATTAAGTCTAGTTCTATCAGAGGTAACTAGAGGAGGATTCTTCTCTGGCTTTGTGGGAATATAGTCTGTGCCCTGTATTTTGAAAATCCTTGGTTTCTTTGTTAAACTTTGTTTTTCATTTCTTACTGCAGGTAATAGAGAAAAATGCTGATCCTGAACAAATGCTGTTATCTTACCTGCGAAGGAGACGTATCCTTTTCTTGTCTGTTCCCTTATTTGAAAGTCACTTCAAATAAATCACTCATTTGAAAGCCTTACTAGAACGAAATTCTCAGCAATTATAATGAAAAGGTGATTTTCCAGATTAAGGAAGTTGTGACTCTCTTAAGATAAAACAACCATATTAAATGTTGTGTCTTTCTTAAGCCAAATACTCTTCCTTGGGCTGCTGTATTTTTAGCCTTGTTTCCTAAACAAAGTTAGGCCATCAGGCATGATGCGTATGTGTGTTCTTCTTCCCCCCACAAAGAAACCTAAGAACCTTTTGGCTGGTATACGTGCAGCTTGATGGGAGCTCTGTAGAAGTCCCTCTTTCAGCTGGATTAGGGTCTCAGTTGCTAATTAGTCAGTTCATCATTAGTTAGAAGGGATTGGTGAGAAAAAGACTTGGAGGTCTTGGTTTTTGGAGGAGGTAATGTTGGCAAGAGGAAGGACAGAAGAAATAGGGAGTAAGGTATCTTCCTTTTGGTGGCTGTAGAACATCAAATTAGCTGTTTGTCAGTTCACAGCTTCAGATTGGCCAGTGTTCCAGATTTATAGAAATGAGTGCTTCTCTCATAAGTGTGATTTTTTCATATCAGAGGCAAGGTTAATATCCTGACTATAAATGGGCCTTCTGGGGAAAAAAAGAGATACTGATTTCAGTGTTCCACTGGAACATCAGGTATATAGCTATTTTGCCTATTACATGTTTCTTTCATATATTCATTTGGAAAACTTTTTTTACTTCTTCTTTCTGTCCCAACTTACTCCTCTTCCAAAAGAAGTTGAAATCCAGTTTTCTGTTTTCTTGAGAGCAGGATTTTGGTCCTGTCATTCCTTAGCTTCAATCTTATTTTCACGAAAAATTTTAATCCAACATAGAAAGGAATCTGATCCATAGGCTATCATACCAAACCAATTCTATGTTCCTTTGTGGTTCAGGAAAAACATGGCCTCAAGCTTTTGTGCAGAATAAAGATCAGAATGCAACCTCATTTATATTTTTTTTCCCTAATGACAGCATTTTCAGTCCATCTTACAGGAACTAAGTATGGCTGTGGAGGAGGTGGCTGTGGTGCCTGCACGGTGATGATATCAACTTACGAGCCAGCTTCAAAGAAGATACAGTATCCTTAACAGAGAGTTTGGAAATCCACACAGTTTTATGGCTGTAGATACTACTTCCAGATACGAAACTGTATAAATAAATGTGTAGAATCTGTACTTAATAGTGAAAAAATCCAACAGGTCACTTTGATCGGAAAGAGAATGCTGTAAAAAATATTGTTGATTCAGCTATGTTGGAAATTTGCTAGTACATCATTATCAAGGGCTTAATTTGCTCATATATGCTGATACCTCCTGTGAGGAGTTTTCTTTTCAGGGGACATATATTTAACACCCTTTTTATTGATGGCTAGAATGTGGCTTCTACCTGCAGCTCTGGTTCATGGTTTAACCCCAGCTGGCAGCTAGGCCCCACAGAGCCACTCGCTCACTTCCCCTTGCTGGGAGAGGGGAATGTTTAGGAAGAGTGAAAGTGAGAAAACTCCCGGGTTGAGACAAAGACAGTTTAATGGGTGAAGCAAAAGCTGTGTGCACAAGCAGAGCAAAACAAGGCATTAATTCACCACTTCCCGTGGTCCAGCAGGTGTTCAGCCATCTCCAGGAAAGCAGGGCTCCATCACATGTAGCAGTTCCTTGGGAAGACAGACACCATCACCCCAAACTCCCCCCACTTCCTTCTCCTCCTCCCAGCTTTATACACTGAGCTGTGTCCCCTCCCAGCTCTTTGTGCTCCCCCCAGCCTGCTTGCTGATGGTGTGGGGTGAGAAGCAGAAAAGACCTTGACTCTCTGAAAGCACTGCTCAGCAGTAACGGAAACATCTTTGTCTTATCAGCTCAGTTTCTGTCACAAATCCAAAACATAGACCCATACTGGCTACTATGAAGAAAGTTAACTCTGTCCCACAAAACCAGCAGTGTCATATGACTGATAAGAAGACAGGGCAGGCAGAAGTTTGAATCTTACCAGACCTTTTAATACTGAACTCGCTTCTTCCTGCCTACCCACAGAAAGGACTTTGATACTGAAACTCAGAGTTTCATTAACTAAAAACTGGAAAAAATTATTTTAAATTGAGAAAACACCAGTCAAATAGTTAAATAGTAACATGTCATTGTCAGGTTAATGTTTTTTTAGGTGGGGAAAAAGTCAAAATGTTCTAGTTGTTCCTTTTGGCAATTGCATTATATTGGAATGCAATGCAAATGAAAATGTTTACATTTATTCTAAGAGTTGGAATTGAAGCAGTCAGAATGATACTTGAAACATTTTAATTTTAGTAAGCCGAAACATTTTAATTTTAGTAAGCCGAAACATTCTATTGCTGATGCTGAAAAGCTTTCAAGAATTTTCATTTTTGGTATATTGTTCCTATTCAGAATTCTGTTTATTTTACCTTAAAATTTCCTTTGAGTCAGAAGTATTATTTATAAATTTGCAGCAGTAATTCTTTACTACACCAACCTTCCCTTCATTTTCTCCTCCAAAATGCACTTGCAAGTTGCTTGTAAGCAGGAGAGACAAGAGGGCAATTAGAAAAGACTGAAATATTAAGGAAAATGTAAATTCTACAGAACTGTCCTAATAGATGTGAGTTTTATACTGGGGACAAGAGACACAGCTAGTAAGTAATCCTGTCTATAAAGCTTATTCTCTTCTCATCCCAAGTGATGATAATGACTGCTTGTAAGCATTATGTCTTCATTGACTGCAAAATATTCATGCATCTTTAGTATAATAAAATTATATTGTTACTTATTCTCCTTTATGTTCCAAAGACATTACTCAGCAAACGCATGTTTGCTTCCCATTTGCTGCTTGTATGGTGCAGCAGTGACCACAGTGGAAGGTGTTGGAAGTACAAAAACCAGGGTTCACCCAGTTCAGGTGAGAGTATCGCTGTGTAAGGGGATTATTGATTCCTTCCTTTGTATGAGCTGGCTTGAGTGGCAGTGGTTTTAGGGCATGGGAATTTCAGATGATGATTATTCTCACTGCTAAATGATAACAGATGACAACAGAAGTTTCTGATGGTTGATCAAGGCTGATGAGGTATGGCTTATGATGGATTTTGCTTGATCAAGCCTGATCAAATAGTATGTAAGAGTTGTTGGGGTGGATCGGGCTTGTGCTCTGTTTGGGCTAATGGCACATTTTGGACAATGTCCCTTCAGCTGCTGTTTTAGTATGAAGGCAAAAAACATAGAAATCTACTGAAGTTTAATTAGCTTCCTCAGTGAGATGTGCCTGGGCATCACACCCAAATAAATAATCCTTATTTGAGATAGCATAAATTGTTTTACTTTAAAAGTCTGATTTACTACAAAGACCACATTTGATTTGGTGTTTCCCATTTAGGAGTTCATTAGACTGGTGATGTACACTGGAAGGAATGCTATTTATGGTGTTTCATTTCAGGAAAGGCTTGCCAAGTGCCATGGCTCCCAGTGTGGTTTCTGCTCCCCTGGAATGGTGATGTCCATATACACTTTGCTAAGAAACCACCCAGAACCAACTCCAGAACAGATGATTGCATCTCTGGCTGGTAAATATTGCCACTTTTTAATTTGTAGATATGTCCTTGAACCATTTTCTTCAGATACTTTGAGTACATGTCTGTGTCAGTACATGTGCATGTATATATATGCACTTCACACAAATAGTGCTTCCCAGTAGAGTTCCTACTGGATACAGTATTTGTATTCCTTGTCCTTCTTCAGGAAAATGAAGCATGGAGCTGTGGATCATTTCAGGGGCATTCAGAACATCCCCATATGTGTCTTTTGAAGTGCTTTAAATTAGATGTGCAAAAATTCTGTCATATTGGAAAAATAGTTGCACCTGAACATCTCTTGAGATCCCATTACATTTGGAGTTAGAATGTCATAAACCTCATAGGAGAACCCCTTTGTGGAAGGAATAAAAGTCAAATAAGACAGAGAGATGCTGACCATCTTCACTAAGGGAGTGAGCATTTATTGCAGATTGCAGGTAAAATAGCCTTCTGTCATCTGTTCTCTAGAGTAAGAGTGGAGCCAAAAGCGTTTCCTGTTATTATGAAGTGAACTTAGATGGAGGTATCATGCTAACTTCCTTCACTATTAGAAGTAAGTCAAGGGGAAGGAGGAAAACATTTTGAGTGGGTGAAGAATATTATATAATTTCTTACTCTCCTGCATATTAAGCTGTAGTTGGCCTTCCCTCCAGTGCAACTATCAAGTATGTCATACTCACCTTGAAACAATAGCTTTTTAACTCAGGAGCTGCAGGATCCCAAGTCTTGTGACACTGATCTTTTTTATCTTTTGGAGACCTAACACTTCTCTTTAAGCTTCAAAATAACAAACCTCATATAGAGACATTTTAAAGCCACGTGCTTTAGAACAAAGCTTTTTCTTACTGATTTCCTTTTTTTTCTTCAGGAAACTTGTGTCGCTGTACTGGATATAGGCCAATCCTAGATGCCTGTAAAACCTTCTGTAAGGTAAACAGTAGTGATGATAGGAATAATGGATTGTGCCCATTAGTGCATACCTGTATACAAACCATCAAGATTTTCATTAAGATCATCTCTTTCTTCTGTCAAGAGATGTAGATTTGAGTAAGGTGTATAGTGGCCTAACACATTATAAAAATAGATTAACACAAATGAACTTGGTGTCTAACCTAGGTTATGAAGAGTAATCTGAAATAACTGTGTGTGTTTTACTGTGGTTCAGTACTGGCATAAATAAAAGCAGAATTTGCATTAATGTTCTTAGTAATTTATCATGTAATGCAACATTTCAGAAACCTGCAGTGAAAGGTGAGAGAGTGAACAATGGGTAAAAGAATTAATATAGGCTGTCTATGTGTGCTCTCACAAGGTCAACTGCATTTCACATAGTATGAATTATTTTGTATTAAGGACTTCAACATCTGATGATTTGAAGTTGTTTTTGAATATCACTTCTTTAAAACACAATCCTTCCAATTTAGCTTATTATTAAACTTCATCTAGAATTTTACTGAAATAGACACTCTTACTGGCTTAAGCAGACTTTAACTAATTGACCTCTGGGCAGTGTTTCACTAATGGAATATTCCTACTTTAGGAATCCGTTTGTTGTCAAAGGGAAGCAAATGGAAAGTGTTGCTCTGATCAGGAAGATGATTTGTTTGACAAGGAAGAGGAGGTAGGGTTTTACCTGTCTTATTTACGTATAAAACTTAAGAGAAAGAATACTGCTTGGCTTTTTTCTTGTAATTAAAGTAAATGCAGTATAGTCTGTCATTTTAATCCTCCGTGTTGTTCACATAATACTAGTTGTAAAATAAGATACTATATTATTCCTCACAAGAAATTTGGACATATTTCTAAAAATTAAGGATTCTCTATGTATATTTGTATGAGGTGGTGACAATGTGGCAGATAGTTGGTATAAAATAGATTGGATCTCCAGAGCTGAGATTTGAGCAGCTCTTCAAGTTCAGGAATATCATTAATCTCACCTATGATGAGATCCCATACAAGGATCATCATGTTATGCAAGAAATCAGACCATATGTGAAATTGTCTTAATTCAGTGATCACTGATGATCTGAACGTAAGCACTGATTTCTTAGGAATCTAACTGCTGGCTTGAGTCTGAGTAACTGATTCACTCTTAAGAAACAGAGTTATGATTGTAATTTTACATGAAACCTCTTACCCATACGAATGTTTGACTTTGTTCTCAGTTTTTCGTACTTAGTCTTTCAGTTGCTTGCCTCTACACTGTCATTTGTGTTAGGAGTGAATTTGGAGAAACTGTTATGAACACTTCCTTCACCTCAGCAGCTCCAAATGGTGCATGTTAATTTAGCACCAAATCCAAATAATAATGGAATGAATAATTTTCTTCTGACTTCAGTGGGATCATCATGGTTTGATTTTGGGGTTGCCTTACTTTTAATTTATGGAATTAATGGTGAGAGCAAATTCTTTGCCTTTGCTTGTTTTCTTTCTTTTTAAGGTTTCCACCAGGCTGTTTTCAACAGATGAATTCCAGCCTTTAGATCCCACCCAGGAGCTTATATTTCCTCCCGAACTAATGGTAATTTCTGCTGCTTATAAACTATTTTTTAACTCTGTCTTTTCCTTAGTAGTCCATAGTTCAGAACTCTTCTGAAGTCCTGTTTAGCAGGACTTCATCAGAAGAAATGTCACAGCACTTTAATATAAATCCAAAATTATATTCTTTCTTTTGTTTTCCTCAGTGATCTTACTGAATATTCATGTTAAAAAAATAATCATATTGGGAAAATGCAGTTGCAAAGTTGGGTATTAGGTGAGAAGTCAAGGAAGTAACCTAAACTGGGTTTTCAGTGCAGCATCTGAAAATAACAAATGCTTCTCAGCAAACTGAATGTCAAACATGTTTTAACATTGGCAAAAAAAGAAAGCATTTTCCCTATTTTGTGGCTTAATAGGTTTTTTGTCTTTTCTGTCAAAATGTCAGCCTCAGGTAGCCACCCAGACTGGAGAGTGTTTAACCCCAGTGATTAAAGTATGACAAAGGTATAACCAGCTGAAACAAGGGCACTGGAATGGGAAGTGTCAGGCACCCATAATTATTGACAACAGTATTTGCCCTAGAAAAAACTAAAGCTATTTGCTTTACGTTATTGTCAGTCTGTAGATTGAAAGTCAAATTCTCTGTAAGTAGCTGGCAGCTTACAGAGAAAGGTTGATTAACTGTGGGACAGGGGTTCTTGACTATGTGTTTGTACCACCACCAGTTCACAAGCTATTTCCATATGATCAGTGAACAGTGCTAGAACAGCCAGAGGCATCCACATGAATGCTTACTCTAGAAAGGGGTGCTGCTTCCAGTGTCATTGGTGACCTCCAAGCAAGCTAAGTGTGCAAACACGTCCCTCAGAATTTTTTTACCACTTTTATAATAATTTCAGCAATTGCAGGATCTATTCCTACGTTTTTGCTTGGGGGCTATTTATATTATCAATCTATCTGGTTTATTAGCCCACTGTAATTAATTGAAGTCATTTCACCCATGTAGTTTTGAAATTCACCACTGTGTAAAGAGTCAGCATAACAGTCCCATTTCAGTCCAATTTTGAAGGATTAAGTAGAACTGCCAATGATCAACAACTTCGTTGACTTGAAGTCTGGTGTCTATTGGACCTTGCACCTAACTACAGGTCTTAAATATTTAAATCTACCATATTTCCCCATCAGAGAATGGCTGAAAATCAACCAAAAAGAACTCTCTTTTTTCATGGCGAGCGTATGACATGGATTTCTCCTGTAAACTTAGATGAATTACTGGATTTGAAAGTTGCCCACCCCAAAGCACCTGTTGTGGTTGGGAACACTGGTGTGGGTACGTATACAGCCAGAATGGCTCTTGTTGCCATGATTCCAGTGTGCATGGGAGGCATGGGGCTACATTTATAACTATTTTTACATTTCCATCCTTAAGCTCACTCTTGACTTAAGTTGGAGTTGTCATTATGGAAAATGTCTTCTGTCTAAGTCTTATTCCTATCTGGCAGGACCCGAGATGAAATTCAGAGGTGTGTTCCATCCAGTTGTTATTGCTCCTGCAAGGATCCCGGATCTGAATGTGGTGAAATGCACAGAAGACGGTCAGTAGACTTCACTTTGTTCAGATGTAGGAGATTCTTCTGCAGTAAGGCACACTGAGCCATTACAGAGTGCCAAAAACGTGAAGCACTGTGCAACTCATTCCTAAGCATGCTTGCTTCTTTCCCACATCAGCATGGCTGTGGCCACTGTCCCAGTGCATGATACAGTGCATGACACAGTGCAGTACTGACCAGCAATATTATCTTGGGGCCCTATAGTTGTGATAGTGGAAGGGCAGTTATTCTGGTAGTACTGGTTCTGGTACTAGGTCATGCAATATTTGCTTTGTGATCTCTGTACCATTCCGTGCTATATAGCAGAGAAACAACAACAGAGAGAGTTAGTAATGTTGCGTGCTTGTCTGCATTAGAAAAAAGGCTGTGATTAAACTGGCATAGCTGATCTTATTCTCACTCATAACAGCATTGATTATTGTAGACTAAAAACTTTATACCTCCATTTATATATTTGAGAAGCACAAATTTATTTTTTTTTTTAGTTAAAGTTACGGTAGGTTTTAGTTTCTATATAAATAAATTCTATTGAAATCAGAAATAACAACTAGAAATGGATTTGAATAGCCTAAATTAATAAAATATAAATTATATTGTGGAAGTTTACTGCCAAAATTTTAAGGAAAGTGAATCTTTTTATCTGATGAAAATTACTTCCTATATGCCCGAATCCACTTTTTTGAAGTGGTAAAGTACATTTGACAGGTCTGTCATTACATGTAGAGTATCTTTTTAATTTCAGACCTGTCATGCAGGTCTAGTCAATGACTAGTTTGTTCTTAGCTGAAAAGTAGTTAGGAATTGGAAAGAAGCAGGGAGAATGTTTAGTGGGGTCTTAAATCTATAAATAAAACCTAGTTATGAGAAGGTGAGACTTACTAGTTCTAAAATGAGAGATACATAATTTAGTTTGTCAGCCAGAAGTGGTATTTATTCTCTTTAATTGGATTTAAATGCAAAACATGTTGTGATTGTATTTTTCTTCTAAATATACAAAATTTAGTATTGCTTTACTTGATTAATAAAAAGCCATTTAAAATTATCTTTTGATTTACAGTTTTTATTGAATTCCAGTGTTCATTCAAAAATTCGTACATTACGTGAAATGTATTAATAATTTTGAATAGAATGGTGCTGTTTATCTTTTACAGTATTGATATTTTTTGAAAGAATAAACTTAAAAAATACATAACTACTCAAATAAATGTGTATAGTTATCAGTTGTCTTTCTAGTGGGAAAAAGAATACAGTATTCAGTGTTAGGACTCTTTCGGGTTTTTTTGCATAATCTACCAACCCATACCGTAGGAGGCTATCTAGAATGTACCTATGCAAAGTAAGATCACATGATGATGAAAATCAGGTTTAAAAATAGGAAGAGCCTGTTGAAAGCATTTTGAAGCTGACTCACCTTTGGGTGAATTGTCACCTAAACATTTACTCAAAGTTGGTGCAAGATAAGCATTTACAATGGGCAGCTGGAAGCAGAGAAGGGATTTCCCTTACAGTAGAAGTGGTGAGCTATAAGCTTAATTTCATCATTTTATGAAATGTTACCTTCAGTCTCCTGAAACGAAAGGTCACAGTCCCTGTAACATGCAAATGCCTCTCCCCTTATATCTATCTGTGTTCTACATGAGCAGTCCACCCTCTAGTCTTCTGGAACAGACCAGAACATAGTTTAAAACTTAGGCAATAAAACAATGTGTACATCACACTTTCATAATCTTTTGCTTACAGGTTTAACTCTGGGAGCTGCCTGCAGCCTCTCTGTAGTGAAAGATGTTTTGACAAATGCGATCTCAGAGTTCCCTGAAGAGAAGACAAAGGTTTTTTGTGCTGTCTTTCAACAGCTAAGGACTCTGGGCGGAGAACAGATAAGAAACGTTGCTGTATGTTGTGTGTTACTTGCAGTAATGTTTGTAACAAATGTGAAAACTTGCATTTTTATTTCTCTTGATAGCAGTGAATTTTCTATCGATACATCTTTTGAGCTTCAGTATGTATAAATTTATATATTGTCCACATGTTATATTGTTACTTAACATAAAAATATGAAGGTGATGGAGAAAGGTTACATAAACTTCTTTTTTTCAAGTCATTAGGTGGAAACATCGTAAGTAGAAAATCAAGCTCAGACTTGAATCCGGTTCTGGCAGCCAGCAATTGTATGCTCAATCTGGCTTCAAGAGGTAAGAGGACATAGCCTGTCTCTGTAGTAGTGCCAGAGGTACAGGATCCTATTTTACGGGGTAGAGAGGAAATAACAACAGGTGGGAATTTGTTAAGGAACCCTTTTCCCACTCTCATCTCTAAGAGCAGCAGTTTGCAAAAGTAGGACATGTCAAAGCTTCTCATGTCAAGGGTCGGCATTCAGACCAACCAGATCATATGTACTTCTGTAGGCAGTGAACTACTACTGCAAGCGCTCTTTGAAACCTCACAATTTGAGTAGCTGTGTATTACCACCTCACTCCCTCATTTTGGTTTTTTTTCCTGTAATTGATCCTATGCCACTGGTTTAAAATCACCCCCTGGCCCTGAGAAGATCTCTGGCTTCTTGTTCCTCACAGGTACTTCTGATACAGGAGTTTCTTCTAGTCAAGCACTTTTTTCTGTGCTCATTTCCAGAGTTCCCTTTCATTGCTGTATATATACTCCTCTCTCCCTGATTCTTTCCTTTTCTTGTACTCTACCGTACCATTGGAAGGTTGATGAAAATTTTTACTAAACAGAAGCTATCTGGTGGCCTAGAATTGCATGCTCTCTCTTCTGGATGGCTTGTGTCCTTTTTGCGTTTGGTCCAGACAGAGTGGATGTTGCCATTTCAGACCACCTAATTCCCTGAAATACATGTTCTTTAAGGGGTTGTTTCTGAGCCAGGATTTATTGGAACAGATACTTAAAAACTTATGCTGTGTGATTTCTATGCATTCTTCCTTCATAGTTTGACATTGAGAGGAAAAACACCTGTCAGGTTGTTTTTACCAAACAGTAGTCAGTGAAACATAGGAAAAGTGGATTGTTCAACGAAAGGAGGTTGCAGAAGCACTATTAGTTTTTACTATTTATCTTAGATCACAGTGTAAGAGAAAATGCACCTTCGTGGGGTGCATTATTGCCCAGTCACAGGTGGGATTATGCAATAATCTTTATGTATGTAAACCAAGAACACTGTGGATTGAACTGCAAAGGCAAAAATCCAGAAACACCAGTGCTGCTATTCTTAACACTGCTATTTTTCAGATATAGATTTTAGCAAAATAAAATTCCTTTACTGAAGTTTTGCTATCACACTAGTTATATCTGAGAAATGCAATTTTAATGCTAAATTATATCCTAGGATGAACAGGTTACAGTGTCATCATCACATGAAAAACATGAAAATAACCTTGCTGTAAAGTTCATTGTTCATGAATGTGATCAACAATGTTCATTGAATGTGATGGGAGTATTTTAATATATGAACCTTTTAAAAATCACACAGAAGATTATCATGTTATAGAAAGTCTTGTGATAGGTCAGGGCCACTGCAAGATAAATAGTGTCTAGTTAATAAGAAATCATTTACTTAAAAATGCATCAAACCCCTTAGGCAGCATGTGAAAAGTATAAAGAACACGGAAGACTAGCAAACAATACACTTTGACTTCATCTGTCAAACACATGGTTAAATTCCACACTGGTGAATCACTGTGAATTTGCTGTACAATGATCATAGAATCATAGAATCATAGTATAGTTAGGGTTGGCTGTCACCAACCACCTCGCTGTTTTTCATGTGCCTCAGCATTCTTTCCAGGAGAATCTGCTCCAAGATTTTGCCAGGCACAGAGGTGAGACTGACTGGTCTGTAGTTCCCTGGGTCTTCCACCTTCCCCTTCTTGAAAATGGGGGCTACATTTCCCTTCTTCCAGTCGTCTGGAACTTCACCTGACTGCCATGACCTCTCAAATATGATGGACAGTGGCCGAGCAACTTCATTCACCAGCTCCTTCAGGACCTGTGGATGGATTTCATCAGGTCCCATAGACTTGGACACGTTCAGGTTCTTAAGGTGGTCTCGAACCTGATCCTCTCCTACAGTGGGCCTAAGGTCTTCATTCTCACAGTTCCTGTTCTTGCAGAACAATGGTGCTACTTGCAATGGTGTTACTAGTACAGTTGCAGTTCTACCATCGAAACTCTTTGGGCCAATTAATAGCATCAGTTGTATGTATTAAAATACTGCATTTCCAGAAGGCTTGCTAGCTTAGCTGAGTGATACTGGCAAACCTGACAGAGCATAGATGAAGTTTAAGTGTTCAAATGGCTTTTACAGATTCAGGTTCTTTGCAGAATTTTGTCCTTTTTATTTTTGAAAATTCCATCTTTAATAGCACATATCATAGAATATCAAACATGATCACTTTTAGAATAATCTACCACAAAGAGAAAGGAAAAGGCAATAGTGTTTATTCTCTTCTGGAGTCCTAGAAATGTTCAAAATCTCTGAACAATGAAAACAAACACACAACCCCACAAACACAAAAATTGTATTTGTTTTTCAACTTGCAGCAGTTCACTCCCATTTGGTTTTCTTCCTAATTATTTATGTTTTAGAAAGAAACGTAACAATGGCAGCAGCGAGGAGATTTGGAACAGATTAACAGGAGTGGGGATGGGATCACTGTGGCAGTATCGGGAGGATTATAGAATGAGGATTGATCTCTGGGCTGTTTCTGAGGACTCCAGTGTGATGACACTGTGGAAGATGGAGCACTCATTTGTATTTATAGAGCATGCCACTAATAATGTGTTAGGAAAACACTGTAGTTATTACCCACTCAGGACGGCTGCAGGTATTTCTTGCCTGCACGATTGTACAAAGGTTTCTGCATTGGGATTTTTTTTTTTTTATTTTTTTTTTTTTATTTTTTTTTAGGAAAAAAGCGACAGATTCTTTTGAGTGATATTTTTGGAGAAGGATTTGGCAATAATACCATTACACCAGAAGAGATCTTAGTCTCTGTCCATATTCCTTGTTCTAGGAGGGTAAGTTACTTGTTTGTTTAGGTTTGCTTTGTGCAGTTAAAGACTATTAAATAAAGAGCAGATGAGGGGGCATAATCCTTGTGTTTAAATTAACACTATTGCTACTCATTTTCTGAATTCCCTTCATTTGACCCTGTCAGTGCCATACTATTTCCCAGTTTTAGCCAAAGTACACAATTTAGCAGGTAGCTGGTGATATATAAAGAGTGATACTCAGGCAGAAGTTTACCCTAAAACGATGAGGGCAATATCAATTGTCTAGACCCCCTGCAGAAAGGGATCTTGGACAAGCTGCCATAATCCTAACCAAAGCAGGCTGCTTATCTGTGATATGGTTGGCATCAAGCAGCTGTACAGTTGTCATCTCTTGAGGATTTTTCTTAAAATGAGGTAATATTGGACATGTGCATGGTCCTTCCATAAATGTTGCTGAACCAAGTAACAGGATCTTAGAATTATGGATCATGTTATCTGAGTCCTGAAGTTTGGCAGTACTTTGAAGCCTCTAAGCTTTTGGTCCTGTTATAAATGCATCTCCACTCCATAAGATCCCTATCTTCCAGCTATCTACCATGAAGAAGTCTAGGTCATGTGAACTGTATAGATGATGGAGGATTGATATGGGCTGCTAGAAAATCAAAGATGGTAAAGATGCTGAAAGGTGAAGAGAAGGATGTGCATCATCTTGAATGCTCAGGAAGTTCAATTTGTGCTCTTCAGTTTTATTCTCTTGCTTCACTTAGTACAAGAACAAATTTTACTGTCAGATATTTACATATCTGCAGTTCTGTCTGATCCTGCTTAGGGGGAGTATGTCTGTGCATTTCGACAAGCACCAAGACGGGAAAATGCTCTCGCAATAACCAATGCTGGGATGAGAGTCCTTTTTGAAGAAGGTACAGATGTAATAAAGGATTTAAGCATTTTCTATGGAGGTGTTGCTTCAACCACGGTCTCTGCGAAACAAACCTGTTCGGCCCTTACTGGAAGGTACAATTTCTCTGCCTTCTCTGTATCTCTGAATAAAGAGACTTTGAGAGCTTGGGTGTACTTCTTTAGAGCATGAAGGATTTCTCTTGCCTCAATGATCTGTTCAAACCTTAATAATGACTTTTCAAAATGGTTACTCTTTGGAGTCTGCACATGGGTGCAACTCCACGCTGAAGTATTCAGAGGTATGGGACATGAGCTGTGAGATAGGTGGATGAGGTATACCTAGTCGGTTGTGCACCTGAACCCAAGCAGTGGTAAATGATGCTGCTTCCTGTAGGCTTGATAATCCCCTGGTATCAGTGTTATTTAGTCCTTCCGTTTGGCTCCAATAGATAAAATGTTTGAGAACTTCGCATGTGCCCAGTAAATTTAGGAGCACAAGTCAAACCTTAACCTTTTCAATATCTCTGCATCCACAAGATCATAATAATCTCTGTACTTAATCCCTGACATTCCTTCCCAGTTTGCAGCATCTTTCCAAACGCTGGAGGAAAAAAATTACAAATAATTCAAGCAGTATAAAACCGTTTATCTAAACAGAGCCCTGCTGGACTGTTTTACCATTAATGTGCAACTGTTTCAGTACTTGAAGTGCTCATTATTTTTTGCTGCTCTACATGATTAAATTTATTCTAACAGATGTATATTTTGATATCCAGGATTGTGTGGAAAATTAACTGTGTGGAGCTACTTCAAGCTGTTCAGAAAATGTTGCAACTATCCATCACTAATCAGATCCTTTGAAAGCCTCTATAGTTTGTGTCACTATCATTATCCACTTGTCTTCAAATATAGGACAGGATCTGCATAATAGTGAGACTGTTAAATCGGCTTTAAAGCTGTAATAGGTTTTATTTATTTATTATAAAAACATTGGCATGGCACTCAATTCCATAGACTTAAGGGACCTCACTTCAGTGGGGATTATTGACCTACACTTAAAATTGCAGACCATTATTGAAATCAATATTTTGGCTTCAGTGTGAGAAGGATTATGCATGTGGTTCATGGTACAAATGTATTACTGCAATTTGTAGTTATTTTTTTGAGTCCTGGTCTGATTGTATCTATTATTCTTCCTGACAGACACTGGAATGAACAAATGTTGGATGAAGCTTGCAGACTAATTCTTAAAGAAATTGCTGTTCCAGGCTCAGCCAGTGGTGAAAAAGTAGACTATAAGAAAACTCTGATAGTCAGTTTCTTCTACAGATTTTTCCTGGAAGTACTGCAGTCATTAAAGACAATGGTAAATTAGTTCTCCATGTCTGCTTTTGTGCAAGCAAATGAAAGGGGTTTATTCTACTTGTTGGTGCTTGCAGTTTGTACAATACGCTAAATACATAGCATATTGGGGTTCAGATCTATGGAAGAATGTAAATGCTTAACTCCCAGAAAGATTGATGGAGAGATGCTCATTTAACTTTTAGGTGCTCAGGTATCTCTACCTTGGACATGAGGCTTTGAAAAAATTGAGCAATGTTAATGCAGCAATATATCAGTATCGAGCTCCAGGCCCAAAGAAAACATACATAAGATCTTACTCCATCTGGCTGTACTTCAAGTCATAAATAGGCAGAACAGAAATAAAAGCTTCGGAATGCAACTGCAGGTGTTAAACCAACCCTCCTTCTTGTATGAGTTGTTGACTGGCAGAGGAGGGCTCTAAAATTCCACTTCCTGATACATTCTAGGTGTAATTTACTTATTTTTGTCTTAAATCTGTTCTTATGAGGAAAAATATCCCTTTTGCCTTTTTCTTCTGAGTTACCTTGAGCTCTTTCCTAGGTAATTTAGCAGGAGTGGCTCAGTGCCAGTTTTGATCAGACCCCAGAATAAAGCTCTTCTGACTATCCCTGCTTTATGTTGCTTACTTTAAACAAGCATATTTGTTGAATCCAGTATAGTTTCAAATATTAATTAGTGAAATCTCAAAATTCTACATTGTTTTAAAATGGTTATTTCAGAGCCTGTCTAGCTTGTGAGAGTCTCGAAGGAATGTCTTATATGAAGAGTTTGTATTTAGTGATTTTGTTTGGTAGCTTTTTTAATCTGAGTGTTCAAAATGTGAGTTTTAATAGTCGTTCACTTCCTTTTCAGGATCCTTACCACTCTCCTGGCATACCCATGGAATATAGGAGCGTCCTACAAGATTTCAAAACCAAAATGCCCCAGAGTATCCAAGTGTACCAGGCAAGTGATTATTCTATGATTGTTAAGTGCTTGCTAAAAAGTCATGGTTCAAGCATGACCCTTGCTGTGAAGCTCAGGTACAAATTTTCCAAAAGATTAAAGGCAACAGGCTCTTAGTGGCTGTTGTGGTTCAAGCCCAGCC